CCCAGCACTTGGGAGGCAGAGGCAGGTGGATCTCTGTGAGTTCAAGGCTAGCCTGGTCTACATGGTGAGTTCCAGGCCAGCTGCGACTACAGGGAGACCCAGTCTCAAAAAGACAAAAAAAAAAAAAAGTTGTCTCCATTGATCAAAGCTGAACTAAGCATACATGAACACAGGAATAAATCTGCCTGGTGGTGAGAGGACCTGGCATATGGCTTAGGCACAACATCACAGTGTTCTCCCTGTAGGCTTCCTCTCTGCACACTGCTCTTCACCTGTTCCCCTACCCTCTCCCTCTTCCTCCCTGACTCCTGCTGGTTTCCATGCTCAACAGAGCTCTTCCTGGGTGCAGGCTCTGACTCTCCTCTGCCTGATTACCTGACTCTGCTCCAGTATGTGGCATCCTCCTCGCGTCTGTTCCACCTGTGTTGTGGTATGGCTACTGCCACCCTCCCTTCCTTTTTCTCACCAAGGACCCTTCCTCCGCTCTCACTACCAGACAGAAGCTCCCTTGGGTGGGGCAGGGTAAGGCTCCGGCTCTGGCTGTGCTTTATTTTGCCATTTCTCAACAGCTCTCAGTGGCTAAATACAGGTTTTTCCAGAGCTCTAGAAATGGGCACTGAGCACACACATTTTCCCACTGGCGACATACTTAGGGAGAGGGGTGCTGCTGGCAACCATGTTCTTTGTGCTTGCTGCCCTTCTAGTCCTGAGCTTTGATTAACGGGGTCTGGATTGACATGCACTGTCTCTTCAGACACTGATGGGTGGGGACTGCATCATTCTGAAAGTGAGTGAAACAAGGCAGATACTAACTCTCATTCTTCTTCACTGAAGGGGAGGATACTCGATGGAATAAAGCTCCACCATTCAAAGAAGAAGAGAAGAGCTCCAGCACTACAAATGTTGCACTTCTGCACAGGTAAAATGCTACCTTCATCTTTAAACCCCCCCTAGGGGAAATGTATGAACTCTATCAGTGACAAGATCTAAAAAGAGAAACATGCTCTTTTTTTAATTTTTTATTTTTAATTTTATGTGTATGTGTGTATTGCCTGCATGTATGTGAGTGCACCCATGTCATGCAATGCCGCTGAGGTCAGAAGAGGGCTTTGGATTCCCCTGGAATTGGAATTAAGGACAGCTCGGAGTTGCTGAGCCATCTCTCCAGCCCCATGCTCTTTAAATGTATAGAAGGCCTCATGCTGGGAACTGTAACTAACATCCTAAAGAGTGAAACAAGCAGGCAAAATAGCAAAGAAAAGGAACCAAAAAATTGGCCATTAACGAAAAAAAACACAGAAAATGCAAGGTGGACTAGAACTGTACGTCTAATGCCACACAGTAATAACAGATGTGTAATAGATGAGAAATGTGACTACTGGGGACTTAGACACACACAGAGACACACACAGAGACGCAATCATAGACACACATACACAGATACAAATAGATACACAGACATACACACACAAACATAGGCACAAACTGACACATAGACATACAAACATAGACACACACGCAGAGACAGACACACACACAAACACAGATATACACATACAGACAAACACAGACACACACACACACACATATTGAAACATAGACACATATTTTTTGGCAGTATTAGGCACTGAACCCAGATCACACACATGCTAGGCTAAACTTCAGCCTGAGCAAAATATTAATTTAGGGAACAGGGTCAAGTTCTTGACTCCACTTCACATAGAAGGCGAGGAAAAACTTAGAAAACGCTGTGTTTTAACACAACTCATCCTTCAGAGCCAGTTTACGGAGACTTTCAGTTCTAATCCCCCAGAGAAAGAACGTCTTTCTGCTTTCTACTCTCAAATGTCCTTCTAGACATGGCATAAAAAATTAGAGAAGGGGCTGTGGAGATCAGTGCTCGCTGTGCCAACATGAGGACCGGAATTAGGATCCCTAGCATCAGGTAAAAAGCCAGGCATGGCAGGGCACCTTCTGCAACTCCAGTGCCGAGGAGGAGAGTCAGGCCCATCCCTGCTAGCATAGCCAGACTGGTGAGCCTCGGCCCAACAAGAGACCCTGGCTGGCTTTAAAAATCATACAAAAAGTGACTAAAGAAGACACCCGGGGCTGGAGAGCTGGCTCAGCGTTAAAGAACACTGGTTGTTCTTGCAGAAGTCCTGGGTTCGAATCCCAGCACCCACATGGCAGCTAACAACTGTCCGAAACTCCAGTCCCAGGGTATCTGACAGCCTCTTCTGACCTCTGCAGGCATTGCACGACAGGGGTACACTTACCTACATGTAGGCAATACATGCATACAAATAAAATAAAAATAATAAATAAAATTTTTTAAAAAGTTTAAGAAGACACCTGATGTCACCCATAGGCCTCCATGCACATGTGCACAGCACACACATTCATGTACACCTGCACACACAGATATATGCACACACATAAACATGTACACACACATAACACAACACATAATTAGAAGAACTTGCAGGAAAGAAATAAGTTCATTAAAGTGATGAAGAAATAGCACCTAAAGAAATATTTAAGGCAATCAGACTAGTTTTATCTGAACAAAAAAAAATAGAGAGAAATTACGTTTAAGCCTAGATTTTTCTGGTGCATATTTCTTCTCTGGAATTAAGCATGATGCATTTGTTCACGTGGCTTTCTTGCTGACAGGCCCCATGCAGGTGAAGAGAACTGACTGTCTTCTCAGCCTCAGCTCTGGTGAAGATGATCAGGAAGGTGTCTGGGCCCATACCACGCTTTTCGAGTCAATCAGAATTGAGTGATTATCTGTGGTTTCACCTATGTCAGTGCTCCCCATCACAGCACACTTATCCCTGAGCTGACTGCTAATGTAGAAATGTGAGCTGCTATTTTCGGCCTCACGAAGATGTGAAAATGGGCGCATGTGTCACCACACAAAGCAGAAACTCCAACTGGGAGGGACATGTTCACAGACGTAGGAAATGATGACAGAAAAGGGGGGATGGGGAAAAAGCAGTGTGTCATCACAGAGCTGCGGTCTCTGGTAAACCAAGACCGGGTAAGATCTTAGAGAGAAAGGACGGGGCGGGGGGGGGGGGGGGAGGGGGGAAGGGGGGGGGGGGGGGGGGGGGAGATGGCGAGCAAAGGGCGGGCAAAGGCCCTGATCAAGCAACAGCAGAAACAAGAGTGACTAAACAGACGGGCAGAAAACTGAAGGAGACCAGTGAAGTAGTAGAAGGAAAAGTCTTTAAATTATGAGATGAGTGTTGGAAATCAATCAATATGTACTTCTTCAGCAACTGACACAAGCATTTGTTTGATGGAAGGAATAAAACTATTAATTGTAAAAAATTAAATGCAATAATGATTACTAAATGTAACTGGGATGTAGAATCCCTGTGGCTTAAATTTAAGATCTGAGAGTTTTTAACTTTCCATTTATAAAATGGAAACACTCATGCACTGGGAATAGAGCGCAGTTAGTAGGATGCTGTCTAGCTTGCATGAAGCCCTGAGTTCCAACCCCATCACTGCATAAACTGGGTGTGGGGGTACATATCTGTAATACCAGGGCTCAGGAGGTAGAGGCAGGAGGATCACAAGGGCAATCTCAGTTACACATCAAGCTTGAGGCGAGCCTTGGATACATGAGACTTTATCTCAAAAAATAAAATGGAAAACTTTAGATTTAACATTTCCTTCATGACAGTATCACTAACACAAGCTCAGCTTTTATCTTCCCTGTTACTGAGAGATCAAGAGTTATTCAGCCCAAAGTCTCAGTCAACCATGGCTAAAACAGGGAAAGTCAGATTTATTTAGGGTTCAAGTAAAAAGACTATAGTAAAAAGGGACTTATTTAGCTATTTAAGACATGTATTTATACTATATTTTAAAAATGGTATTGAATTTTCTCAATACATGTATCCTTCTTTGGAAATGGCCCTGATCAAATCTAACAGTAGAAATTTTCTTCAAACACTTGCAGGCAGGGCATAATGGATGGAAAGAAAGGCATTCCTTTCTGCTTACCCACTCCTAGAAGCTCTAGGTACTGATGAAATGATCAGTAGCATTGCTCAGCTGAGCGTGCCCATCAGCCTGCTCTCTTCCGCAGTGCTCTTAGGACAAAACGCCACACTACATTAAAAAGGAAAACCACAAAGCCTTTCCCTATTTACTTTTAGTTCACAATTACGTGAGTAAACACTGACTTTCTGAGAATGAATACATGGAGTGGTTTGGGTTAATCCTCTGGCTCCTCAGTGGCATTCATGCCTCTCACTAAACCAGCAACCGTTTAAGGCACATAACGGGTTCAGGAAACATCCTTCACACTGCTTCAGGCAACTGGCTTCAACAGATGTGCCCCTCAATCTTTATGCTGGGTAAGCAAAGCTGTTTCTAAAGCCAAGATATTCCAGAATCGCACCCTCGGGGTTCTGTGACCACCAACGAGGCGGCAGCAGCAGCCCAGCCCTGACAGAACAGGCTTTCCCAGGTCTTGAGGAGCCTGAACACAGCTGTGTAATTAGGAGCTAGATGGCTTGTTTGACAGGGAGAATACTACACCAAGGGCTTTAGACTTGCTTTTGAATAAAGCAGCACACAGACGTGCTAGAGCAAATGAAATGCCATCCACGAAGCCCTCTCATTGGGTCTCACTACTGAGAAGCCTGGGTCTAAATAACAGCCACATACCTGTATTTTCAAGTTGCTTCAGTAAGGCCTGCATCCTGCTATTTTTCTCACTTTCTGGAATGATAATTAGGTACTGTCACAGAATGATGAATCAGTCTCTGGCTTTGGGAATCAGAGACAAACAACTACAGCTCTCCAGAAAAAAAGTCTTCAAATTTTTTAGGTGCACAAACTCCATTCCTTCTATCCTCTGAAATTTTCATGAGAAAGGTTTAATAATTACTGAAGAAACTACTTAGTCTGTAACTATATTTAAAGCAATTGAGAAGAAAAAGAAATGCCCAGCAGGAGATGTTTAAGAAGCAGAGTCTCACCTATCAGGGTGTGGAAGACGGCGGCAATGGCGCCAGCCACCACCATACACAGGACGGCTTTGGTCCTATCTCGCTTGCTGTTCACAAACACCAGGCCCACGTTCTTGAAGTCACTCATGGGCCCTGTGAAGAACTTCATCAGGGAATATGCCAGCCCGTAGCTGGCCAGCATCTCCACAGCATCTTCCTTGACGGCAGCAATACCCCGGTTCAAGGCCTGAAAGATAGAAAAAGAGCCACCAACAGTGTCAGATGTGGTGCTGCATCTCTGGGGAAAATCCCACCTTTATCCGGAGACTTAGTAGATCTGATTTCTATGGAAACACTGGACAGGGTGCAGGGTGAATCTCCCTCTAATTGGGTAAAGGGTATTGGTTTTTATTTTTGCTCATATCAGCTTCAGTTTGAGTATCTTGTTGTAGAGAAGATACCTGCCTATTAGGTAGAGTAATAATAAAACTCAAAAAAGCATTTGTTAGTATCAGAAAATAATTCTAAGAAGTATCAGTTAAAAGCTGATGTTTTTTGGCTCAGTGGTTAAGAGCATTGGCTGCTCTTGCAGAGGACCTGGGTTTGATTCCCAGTACCACATGGCTAACAACTGTCTTTAACTCCAGTTTCAGAGGAATCCAACACGCTCTTCTGACCTCCTCAGGCACTGCATGACACGGGTGCACTTACATACATGCATGCAATACATTCATACACATAAAATAATAAAATATTTTTAAAAGCCACCTAGCTGGGTATAGTGACTGGTGCCTGTAATCCCAGTACTCAAGAAGCCGAGGCAAGAAGGTCATGAGTTCTAGGCTAGTCTGAGCTACATATCAAGACCTTGTGTCAAAACACCACCCTCTTCTCTACCAAATCTCCTCATACATTAAATTTTATTTGTAGGCTGAAATTATATAAGAGCAACAGACATCATTTTAGAAGCGAATCTACCAGTTTATATGGGGTAAGTGAAGACTTTTTTTTTCTTTAAAGAGGGTATGTGTGTGTGCGTGTGTGTGTATGTGTGTGCGCATGCTGCACATAATCAAGTAACCTCAATATTATGTAAATGCTGTGTATGTAATTCTTCATGCATTCACATTATGAAAAAGGCTTTATGCTATCAAACAGATACTGTTCATCTAATTCACATCGTATCTTAACTTTAAATACATTCCTGAGCTCTGCGTAAACAAATTCACATGAAAAAAAATCTTTACACCAAACATTGCCCATCTATAATGCTGGCTCCAGAAGATGTGATTACCCTTTAAGCAGTCACCAAGAGTAACCAGCGTAGACTGGAAGGCTTGCCTGAGTAGCATTTCTAAATTAACCATCTCTCCTAGGAGACATATATCACCAGAGCTGGTAGAGCTGGTGGGAATGGGTGTCCAGGCATTGAGAACTTCATAACTGAAACACTCCTGACATCATCACTGCTCTGTTTAGGAAAAGGCAACTGAGCAGAAGAGCAAGCTTTCGGTGCAGGTGCATGTCTGTGTGTGTGTGTGTGTGCGCGCGCGCGTGCGTGTGTGCCAAAATAATGGGTTTCATGATGATGTCTTCACACACACATGCATTTTACTTTGTCCATGTCCATGCCCTGACTCTGACGTGCACCCTTCCCCTGGTCCTCTTCTCAGAGACTAGCTCCCTTCCTGCTTTCATGTCATGTGTGTGCCTATGTAGCTAAATCTAGTTCCACATCAAAGACAGCATGAGTATTTGCCTTTCTTTCCCCTGCCTGCCCTCCCCCTTTAGACCTCTTCCTCTCCTCACAGAGTATACATTTTTTGCAACAGACTTTATTGTTTACAGCAGTTTTAAATTCATGGTAAAAGTGAGTGGAAATGACAGAGTTCCCATTCATCCTGTACCACCACAAACACGGAGCCTCCCCTGCGTTCAACATCCTGCCCAGACTGGGACATTTGCTACAACTGATGAACTTGCATTCATACACTGTCCTCAGTCATTCCCAGCCAACATGAAGGCTCAGTCTAGAAATCTGACACAAGTCAAATGACATGTATCCATCACTACAGAGTCATTTTCTAAAATAATGACACCTTAAAGCCTTCCTGTCATGTTCAGTCTTCCAACAGGCACACATTCATAAAACCCATGCTCGGTCTGCTAGTGCAAAGCACAAATGCATTTTCCCTGTCTCCCTATTTTTATTGAGCAGATAGTGGTTCATAATTTTCTCCTGAACATAGCATTTATGGCTTAGTCTGAATGCTGCTTTGTAATACTCCTTAAAGACAAGACGCACAGTTCTAAAGGAGCCAAAGGGTGTCTGAAAGAAGAGAGGCTGAACGCAGCAAATGAACCCAAGAACTTCAAACATATAATATCTGAGAATTACAAATCATACTACATTATAACAAAACAAACTCAATCCATTACTTATGTTTCACTGGCTTGAAGACTGTCATTTATAAGGTACATTATTAGCTTATATACCACTAAACAAGGAAGAAATACTCCCACTTACAACTGGATGCCAGCTGCTTGAAAGATGTACTCAGACTGCAGACATACTAAAACGTATGTGTGCAAGATGATGATGTGTATGCCTCAGTCATTAAGAAAGAAGTATTACGTGTTACACTGAAAACGATTCCGAAAGCCGGGGTGGTTTTCCTTTCTAATATAATAGACTGTCAGCAAAGGCTCAGCGCACAAACAGGTAGAACTACTTGGCAGAACTCAGGGGCTTCAAATTCCTTGCTTGCACTTCCTTTCATTTTCCTCCCCAGAGATGCTGCTGACACATTGTAACACTTACAAAGCCCAACATTCCATGCAAGGACTCCTGGGAGGACGGAGATGTATTTACGGGAATAGACACTGCATCAAAATGATTATAGAAAAGCCTACAATAAAAATGTATGACAGCTGAAGGAATTCATTCTTTTTTGAATGAAGTTGAACTATAAAGCTAGTTTTTCATAATTGTTTTCAATGGTATCTCAAATTCTTTTTTTTTTTCTAGTAAAAAATGTGAACATTTCCCTGAGAAAAAAACAAAGGAAAAGAAACAAATTTTCCCTTCTACCAAATACTACTTTGATACTACTGAGCAAAATAGAAACCAAGAAGCTCCCTGGTGGCAAACCTATGTTTAGAAGCTTACCAATTTAACTAATCCTGTGTGGCTTAGTGGATACTGGGGTGCCCATCACACTCCATAGATTTCCCCAGGTGGCAGGAAGCCAAGAACTAGATGACAGGCATATAAAGATGGGCCACCTGCTTTCATTTAGGTCACTCTGGAACTGTTCCCTAAAAAGTGGAGACCAATCTTTGCTTCCCTTTCTCCAGCACCTATCCCGATTTTGTCTCTTCATTATGGCACAAGAAGGTACACACCTCAGGTTTTGTTTCCCCAGAACTCAACTCAGAACAGTCTTTTTTGTCTTTTTGAGACAGGGTCTCCCTGTAGCCTCAGCTGGCCTGAAGCTTGCTATGTGGACCAGGCTGGCCTTGAACTCAGAGAGATCCTCCTGCCTCTGCCTCCTGAGTGCTGGAATTAAAGCTGGGCTGGTGGCACAGAACAGTTTTTAATTACTTGCTTTCACGTCCTAGAGCCGGTATAGTCTTTCCCCACCCCTTCCCCACATCCTTCCCCAAGTCTTTGATTGCAACCTTTAAAATATTTATTTATTATTTTTTATTTTATGTGTACGAGTGTATTGCCTGCATGTAAGTGCACCCATGTAGTGCATTGCCCACAAAGAAGAGGGCATCAGATTCCCTGGAATCAGAACCATGGTTATATTAACATTTTAAAAATGTAGTTTTGAGACAGGGTTTCCTTATAGTCCCAGATGGCCTGGAACTTGCTATGTAGACTAGGCTGGCCTCAATTTCACAGAGATCTGCCTGCCGCTGCCTCCTGAGTGCTGAGATTAAAGGTGTGCATCACCGCACCTGGCTTTAATACCTTTTAACATTTATTTACTGTGTGTGTGTATGTGTGCACGCATGTGTATGGAGGTCAGAGGACAACTTGCAGAAGTGGGTTGTCTTCTTCCCAGGATCAAACTCAGGTTGTCAGGCTTGGCAGCCAGTGCCCTAACCTGCTGAGCAGTTTAGACAGCTGCTGAATTGTTTGTTTTAATTGCTCAAAAGTGTGTTAAAATTTAATTGACATACATTATTTAAGACAAGTTTCAAATATACCTAGTAGCACACCTAAATAATGCATGACTAGATTGTGTTTTCTTCCTGGCAATTTTTTTTTTCTCTTGAACAGCAACATCTATAAGCCCTAGCTTATACTGTCTCATCTGCAGTGCTTTCCGTTGTGACCAGCAGCTCCTGCCTGGAGTCCTAACCCTAGAGCTGAGGCAGGAGAGAGGAAGGGTGCAGTAATGACAGCTGTCTGCTATGGGTGGTCCCGTGCACCACGTTGCTGCTCGGGTCCCTGGCTCTCCGCGTTGCTGGGGTGCGCGCGTGTCTCCGTGACTACTGGATGCTGACGACTCTATGGGTCGCTGGGCTTCCAGGCGGGTTCTGTTCAAAGCTACAGGGCACTCCCTTGAGGTACACGATCTGCCGGCCGCTGGATCACGTGGGGAAGTTCAAGAACGGCGAAAGCAAAATCTCCGAGAGTAGTTGTTTACGAAGGGACAGCCCCCTCCGGAGAGACAGAATCATAGACAGTAAGACACAGAACTCAGCTCAGTCAGGTACAGCTCCTTTGTTCAGTGACTCAGCTCTGCTCCAGGTCTTAGTGATTCAGCTCCAATTAATTAAGGGGAAACCAGGATATTTTATAGTGTGGGGGCAGTAGCAAAAGCCTTAGTTGATAGGTGCTTTGTAGGATGCCCCATTTACATGTGGTGGTGGGCTTCCACCAGGCTGCCAGACATTGCCTGATTATCACACAGGAAAAACCTGGCAGTTTCTGTGCCAGAGGCCATGTTTTTGGTAGGGCATCTGTGGCAACCACTTCAAAAGGTGAGTCAGGAAGAGAGTAAGAGACACCCTACTGGAAAGAGGAGTCTCTGCATAGAAACGCCGAGCCCCTTGGGCTATCCGGACATGGAGAGACTGCTACCCAAAACGGCAGGAGTCCCCAACAGTCTGCAAGCCGGAGGGGGACATTTCATTCAGCGAGACTTGAGCTAGGATCTGCTTCTCTCACTTAACTGATGAGTGGGTCAAGGGACTTCCTCTGCCAGAAGGACACAAACAGCCTTGGGAGGC